TTCCCATTGGTCCTTTTCACTTTTTGGAGTCGGAAGAGTCACCTCCATCTCCTTATTCAAACCAGCGGGGCCCCTGGACGCTCTGCCTTCAGCACGTGGGTCCTCACAGCAAAGGGGCCCGTGTGCTCCGTCTCCGGGGAAGTCGGGGGTGTGACCGGAAGCAGAGCCCTCCCCAGCCTCTGCCTCTCTGTTCACTGGAGATGCTGGGATGGGACTCCCGCCGGCTCGCACCCCGGGGCCTCCGCGCTCAGGTGGGCTCTGGTCTGCCGTGGGCGCTGCAGGACAGGGGCCCTTGGCTGGTTCTGTGATTTCCTCTGCTGGACGCTTAGATGCCCCCCTGGGCACTGACTCAGATTCTCCCCCCACACGCCCTCCATCTACCCCTGCTTCGTTCTCCACGGGCTCAGCCAGCTGCTCTTTATGCTCAGGACAGCGGTCCCCAGGGCGCTGCCCTGTTTCTGTGGCTGCTGGGAGGGTCAGGGCGCCTCCTTCTGGGCTTGCATGGGGCCTGGCAGCGGAGGCGGCCGGGGCTCTTTCCTGCTCTGGGACGCCATCTTTGCTGCAATGACCCACCACTGACCATTCGGAGATCTGGGCCAGAGCTGTCCCTTGCCTACTTTCTGCCAAGGTGCCTGTAAAGGCTTCACCTCCCTTTACTAATTGAGGACTAGGAGTGGGCAGTTTTTCACAGGCTGCTGAATGCAGAGCCTCTGGAGGGGCTGACGCACTCATGACCTCAGATGGTGTTCGGGGGCAGGTAAATGTAATATTTCTATTTTCATCCACATAGCCCATTCCTTCAATTCTGTGGTCTCCTGTGGCTTCCATGGGAACATGTCTTTCTGCTGCATCTGTCTTATTCTCCAAAATGTGCTTCTCAGAAAAGCTATTTTTCACCTTCTTGCTTTTCCCGTCATCACTCCTTTTGCTCGGGCTGTCCCTCGCTGCAGTGGGCCCCCGGGCTGCATCTGTCTTACGCTCTGCAGGCGGGACTGAAGGGACAAGTCCCGCCCCCTGGCTTTGGTCTTGGCAGCTCACATCTGTCACCTGGGTAGCTACTTCAATAACAGCAGCACCCTTGACTGTACTTGTTTTGTTCCCACCCAGAGCCCCGAGCTCAAAAGAATTAACCTCAATATTTCTAGCCTTTCCGTCAACCACCTCCACTGTGGGTGCATTTGATGTCTGTGAGAGCAAAGGCTCGTGACTGGGGGGGAAAGTGAGTGCTGAGTCTTTGTTTGGATGGGGAGTGCCAGCACCTCCATCCTTCCCTATGGAAGGTGGGCTGAGGACTTCTTCCTTGCTCTCCACCCTAGCAAGCTGTGCAGAGTAATTATTTTTAAACTTTTTGTTTTTGCCTTCACTGCTTCTTTTTTTAGGCTTTTCAGAAACCCTGGGAGCTGCCTCGCGATCCATCCACGGACACTTTCCTTCTTTGCTCTGGTTACTGACACCCAGATCTATGGCCACAGCTCCTCTGTCTGCTGTGGTGCTGGGAGTCTGAGTCATACCTGACCTAGTTTCCAAAGGAGTCAGCATCTGCAAGGTGCTGGCCACACTGGGGCCAGTCTCCTTAGGCGCCCCCTCGAGCCCTGCCTCAGGGAGAGCAGCCCTGACCCCCGGCTGCTGGGAAGAATCCAGCCTCGGCTCCTCCCTCCCATCCCCAGCAAGCGCTCCTTCTGCTTCAGGGGCTGGCGCACTTGGCCCCCGAGCAGCTCTGCCCTCTCCCTGGCTGTCGGGAAGGACTGGCAGCTCAGCCCTTGCTTTTGCCTTCCCAGAACTCGCTCTCACTTTCCCAGAACTCCCCCTTCCCTTCCTGCTCTTGCCATCACCTGCTGTTCTCTTAGGTGGTTCATTCCCGGGCCCAGGAACCTGAATCTTGCCCTGTGGCAGCTGCTCCGAAGCTAAGATGCTCATCTCTTGTCCTTGCGTGGGAAACGCTTCCTTGTGAAGTTCCTTAACATCCTCAGCTGCTTCAGAGAACGCTTCCTGGTTGTCAGTCTGCAGCGCGGGCACTGTCCTTCCATCACGCCCTTCTTTCAGGCTGCTTTCTAGTGGATTATTCGCTGTCAAACTGCGTGTCGGATTAGGCAGCTCTTTTGCTGCTGTGGGTTTTACAACTGGCCCCGTAGCCTCTTGGTCCGAGACAGGAAAGCAACCCTCCTGGGCTCTGACCTCCCAAGGAGCTTCTATTTTGTGTGCAGAAACTTCCGCCAGGGACCCCTCTGGTCTGAGAGGGGTCGCCAGGTGGGGAGCAGTCTGTGGTTTGCACCCACCCTGCTGCAGGGATTTCCTGTCTTGGCTCTGTGGTTCTGACTTGTTACCTTTGACCTCTGCCTCTCTGCTCAGCTGGAGCTGAGAATTCGCTGGGGCTTTAGGGGGTTCTTCCCAAGGACAGGAAGGAACCCTGGGGCTTTCCGAGACCAAGCTCTCAGCGGCCGGTTTGGCTGTCCCAGAGTCAACCCCACCATCCTTTTCCGGGCTTTCCCTGGAGGCCGGTCCATGCTGTCCGCCCACAGTGGCAGGCTGGCTGGGGAGGACACCTGGTTTCTGTGGGTCAGCTGCCAGGGGACGGCCGTCAGCCTCTTTTGCACTGTCATCACCCCAGGGCCCCCCGCCCCGGGGTGGGGAACATCGCTTTTGCTTTGGTCTCTTCTTTTTCTTCTTCATCATTGCTGTGCTCTCTACCTCCCAGGCCTCCCTGCCAGGCTCCCTCTGTGTCTCAAGGAAGTCAGCAGGAGTGGTTTTCCTTTGGCTCCCAGGCTCACCACAGGGAAATGAGCCAGAGACCCAGCCCGGCTCCGGCAAGGAGCAGGGGCCCAGCCCGGGATCGAGAGTCTTCCGTGAAGAGCCTCCCAGCAGCTCAGGAGGGACCCTGGCGGGCCGGGGCCGGGCGGCCCTGCGGTCCCTGGGCCGGCACACTTGCTTGGCTGGTGTGGGAAGGGAACCTGCAATACACGGAGATGGCCAAGATTCCAAACAGAAAACTCCTTGTTATTGTTTCTTAAAAAGTCCACTTATTGGCTCATTTACGTAGTCTATTTTCGCCAACCCACATCATAATTCATTTAGGAAAAGTTTTTTTCCTGAAATATTTCTCACCCTTAACTGGGATTAGCAAATATTTAACAAAGATCATCATCTTAAATGTTTTTTTCAAACATATTTACAAAGTATTTAAAACTGGAGAAAAGAAATTCAGAGATTTCCTAACCCCTATAATAAGCATTTACTGCCTATGGCTCTCATCTGATACTTGTTTATATTTGTCATTATTTTTGTTAGGCACATAATTCCCAATTCTGCAATAAAATGGTAAACTCCTATTTCTTTTTGGTGGCATTTGAATTTATAATTCTAAGAGTCTGTCACCAATATTATACTAATCAGTTATCAAACTAACCAGATAAATTCTGGGAAACAGACCAGACTTATACTACTAAAAAAGAAGAAGAAAAGGAAAAGAAAAAGATACTGAATTCGTATTTGGGCCAGAGAAATAATCTCATCGTTCCAGAACCAGAACCTCCTACTGTAAAAGACAAATGTGCTGGATTTCAATTTCTGTTCCTAAATGTCCTTTCCCAAAGGCAGAGAACGACAGAAACGCCAAGTAGGACAATGAGTGAGAACGACTGGGAGAAACCCCTTGGAAGTGTTTCAGGAGCCACTGCTCCAGCGCCTGCCTCCACGTCGAGGCTGCAGGATCTGAGCCCTAGAAAGGGCCCACGAAGAGCGGGTCTAGGACAGCTCTTGTCAGGTCTGACCCACGAAATGCTCCAGAGAATATTCAAATACCTACCCACCCAATTCCTCCCAATCTTACCCTTTATTTAATACCTCAGATCAATAATTGCTTCTCTTAAAAAAATGGCTAGGCTTTCGTACCCTACAACATTTATAACATTTAACTTGGAAATTAATCAGTAGCTACTAGTATTTGGTGCCATCTCTTAAACTAATTCAATTACATAGATCTTTGGTTTCAGTGTTCATGCCTGGGGACTTCTCTTTCCATCCAGGCTGTAATAAAATGATGGAAGGGCAAGGGCCCCGACTTAGCTACCTCTATGCTTCAGCATGGTGTATTTTGTGCATATTAAGAACTTGATAAATCTTTATTGATATGCTGAGTCACTAAAACGACATCTTAAAAAAACCTAAACTTGCCCTGGCTGGTTTGGCTCACTGGATAGAGCGTCGGCCTGGGGACCAAAGGGTCCCAGGTTCGATTCCAGTCAAGAGCATGTACCTTGGTTGTGGGCACATCCCCAGTAGGGGGTGTGTAGGAGGCAGCTGACCGATACTTCTCTCTCATCAATGTTTCTGACTCTCTATCCCTCTCCCTTCCTCTCTGTAAAACATCAATAAAATATATTAAAAAACAAACAAACAAACACCCTAAACTTAACTGTGGTACTTCCTGGTGCTGGCTCTTCAGTGTGCAAAGCACAGGACGTAAAGGAAATAACCATAGCCCTGCCTCCGGGTCACATTCTAACCGTCACGGGAAGGCAAGCAGAGACTCAAGACGATAAACTACGCACGTCTCTGGCTCACAATACAAAGTAACGGACTTGAAGGCAGGAAGCCTCGGGAGCAGGGCCTCCCACAGGTAAGGGCATAAGAATTATCTGCAAACTCGGGAGGCTGAGGTGGAGCCGAGCTCCCGGGCGGTGCCCATGCGGCCGGGCTGTGACACTGTCGCCAGGGGCTCATGGAACATGAACCAACATCCTCCTCTCACAGCGGAGCAAGCTGAGGGCCGTTCAGTAACCTGCCTGAGACCACACGGGACAGAGTGGGGAACAGCTGACCTGCATTAGGTGTCCTGGGTTGGCGTGGTGATCACTGAAAAGTAGATAACAAGCTGACTTTCTGCCCAAACAAGACAAAATCTAAGAGAACAGACCTCATCAACAGTCTGCTGATCACCACCTGCGACCAGGGGCAAGGCCACGGCCGCACCCACCCTCCCAGGGCCGTGGTTCCCGACCCACCTGAGGGCGCTGCAGGCGGCTCCGGAGGCTGAGGGCTGAGCGGCTGCCTTTGCTCTAGTTTCTCTGGCACAGATGCCTCGTCTGGTGGCAAGGCGGACGTTTGGCCCACAGCTGTGACTGGCTCTAAAGGTGACAGTAAAACCACACAGGTTTCCAAGAAGCACGACTCAGCTATTTCTCCACCTTCCAGAGCTGGGGACGGAGGAGCGTTTGAGGACTGAGGGGCTGCAGTGAGGGCAGCAGGGAGGGGGTGGGGGGTGGAATTGGAGGGGCTTGTTTGTTTTTAAAATGGGACAATAACAAGTGCTTGCATGCTGGTGGGCAGGGCCCACTGGAGGGAAAGCGCTGCTGAGAGGAAGAAGGGGAGCCCCTGGCGGGGTGCTCGCTGGCCCGGAGCGCTGTCCTGGGCACCTCAGAGGCTGGGGCTCATCTCTGGTGGATCATCTTGATAATCCCCAGTCGGGCACACAGGGGAGGCAAACAACCAATTGATGTTTCTCTCACATCAATGTTTCTCTCATCTTTCTCTCTCCCCCCCTTCCTCTCTCACTAAAGACATCAATAGAAACATATCCTTGGGTGAGGATTAAGAGAGAGAGAGAGAGAGAGAGTGAGAGAGAGAGAGAGAGAGAATGACCAGAGCAATCACAAGAAGAGCAAGAAGAGATGGGATCTAGTACAAAACAGAGGTGGCCTTAATCAGAAGCAGGGATGCTACTCCCAGGAACAGGAGGGGCAGAGTCTCTGGACACAGACACAAGCAGTCAGGGAGGCAGATGAGGAGTGAGGTTGTGATGCCCCTCTTACTGCTCACTGATCTATAAGAGGAACAAGATCGGCAGAGAGTGGGACGAAGACGGTGCTGGAGGAGGTGAGGTGAGAAGTAACGTCTGGGAGAGTAGGAATGTGTACAGATCTGCAAAGCACTGTCTTCATTGTCCCTGGCCCGATGGAGACCACCCCTGGTAGACAGAAAGACTGAACACATGTGAGTCCGCACCTGGGGAAACCATGGCAGCAGGCACAGCTGACGGCCCCTCGTTCTGGGGAGATGCGAACTGGGAGCCCTCGCTTGGTTTTCCTGGTGTCCGTACAGTTCCCATGTCCTTCACCGGAACTGGGGCCGCCTCTGTTTCTGAAGGTGGTGCGACATCCTTAGCCAGGGATGGCTCTGGTCCTGGAAGCAGAGGCACATCCTTGCCCGGGGCCACCTCTGTTTCTGGGGGCGGAGCCATGTCCTTGACTGGCACCTCTGTTTCTGGGGGCGGGGCCATGTCCTTGCCCAGGGCCACCTCTGTTTCTGGGGGCGGAGCCATGTCCTTGCCCAGGGCCACCTCTGTTTCTGGGGGCGGAGCCATGTCCTTGCCCAGGGCCACCTCTGTTTCTGGGGGCGGAGCCATGTCCTTGCCCAGGGCCACCTCTGTTTCTGGGGGCGGGGCCATGTCCTTGACTGGCACCTCTGTTTCTGGGGGCGGGGCCATGTCCTTGCCCCGGGCCACCTCTGTTCCCGAGGACAAAGCCAACTCCTTGGCTGTGGGTGATGCAATGTCCTTAGCCAATGCCATCTCCCTTTCTGTGAGTGACACCACGCCTTCAGCTGGAGCCGCGTCCATTTCTATGGGTGGTGCCCGCTCTGTGTCTCTGAAGAGCACTGCACCCTTGGCTGGGGTTTCCGTTGATTCTATAGGCAGTACCACATCCGTGACCACAGCCACGTCTGACTCAATGGGTGAGTCCATGTTCTTGGCAAAGGACACATCTTCTTTGGTAGGTGATGCCACGCTTGTGGCCAGTGTCTCTGTCTCTGTGCCTGGCGCCATGTCCTGAGCCAGGGCCATCTCTGTTTCTCTAGATGGTGCCATGTCAGCAGCCGTCAGTCCCATCCTCGTTTCCGATGCTTTGGTCGATGCCCTCTCTTCTGGTGCCATTTCTCTCTCCCCGGCTGGCTCTAAGGGAAATACGTTGGACATTTAGGAGCCATCATAGTCTGCTCAGAGTTCTGCATTCAAAACTCACTTTCTTAGAGCACAGGAATATCTGGCTTTTGTGACCCTAACACCCCAAACATAACTAAAAAGCTGGCCAGTGAATGCCTTTGTGCCTACTCTGACAGTCCCAATACGTAAAAGAATAGGCTATTGGGAGAACAAATAATGGAGGAAAAAAGGCAAAGAAGAAAAACACCCAATGTTTAAAAAAAACAATACAGGTTTATAATTATTGTCAGAAAGGGAATGTGGGCCCTAGAATCTGAAATCTGCACCAAATTAAAAAGGGATTTTCTTTGCCCATTAACCCCAAGTCTTATATCTCAACTACACCTACATTTCTCTAGCTGTGAAATCAGTAATATAAGTTTTAAAATATTTGTGACAAATCTGACATTTTTGTCTACACTGTTATATGCTGCTAAAAAATACTGCCACCACACACCGATAAGAGGGGTTCTAATCCTTTACCTGCTGTGGGTTGCAGAGGTGGTGTGGCCTCTGGGGAAATGAAGACCCCCGCCTGGGGGGAGTGCGGGGCTTCCACAGGCCAGCCCTGAGGTACAACTGCTTCAGGAGTAAATGTGTCGCAAGGAAGGTGACCTAATAGTGAAACACAAACAAACATGTCAGCATGGGGGGAAGAAGGTACTGGACATTTAAAGTAAGCTTTCTCTACTGCCACAAGCATGGAGACCGAAGGGAACATGCCAATGAAAACAAAGCAAGACAGTTCTGGGGAAACGCTGCCAACATTCTCCAGCTTCCTGGCTGATGAGCAGGCTGTGCGGTGCCACCGTAGCCCTGGAGTGCTGAGTCAACCTCCCAGCGTGCGTTTCAAAGATTCAACATCACAACTGATACAACGTAGAGTAAAGAATCGAGGGTCTTAACTTTCTCACCCATAAAGAGATTAACACCTCCTTTTTCAAAGTTAGAAACAATTTTGTGGAAATGCTTTGTAAATTATTAAGAACTAGATAATGTCAAAAGATTATTATTATGCTGTCCACTGCCAGACTTAATAGTGCATTTAAGCCCTAACCGGTTTGGCTCAGTGGATAGAGCGCCGGCCTGCGGACTCAAGGGTCCCGGGTTCGATTCCAGTCAAGGGCATGTACCTTGGTTGCAGGCACATCCCCAGTAAGGAGTGTGCAGGAAGCAGCTGATCGATGTTTCTCTCTCATCGATGTTTCTAACTCTCTATCCCTCTCCCATTCTCTCTGTAAAAAATCAATAAAATATATATTTTTTAAAAAATAGTGCATTTAATAACCCCTTGCTATCAACATGATTACAGTTTAGCTAGAGAGGCAAGATCTTCGACATAGATCAAATAATACAGAAGTTATAGTATGAACGAGGTGCTGTCAGAGTTTAAAATCAACCACGAGGACCAGAATAGCCACAGAAGGCTTCTGAGGAGAAGCAAGAGCAAGAAGAGGAGAGAGGAGTCAATGTCAAGGACGGAGAACAATGAGCAAAAAAGCAGTACGGAGAGGCCACCAGGACGAGATGTGTCTGGAACTATGAGGTCCGTCTGATTCAATGCTGCACACCTTGCGGATCAGCCAGGGAAAGACGGTCAGAGCGAACAGGGGATCTGGAAAGCCAGAGAGAGTTAGGCCTGAGCAGGGAAAACAAACAAGGCACCTTGAGTCTTACTCATGAAAACGAGATGACAAACAGAACAGGACGCAGAGGGGCCAGTCTTCCAGGTCTAATCAGGATGGATTTTAAAAGGCAGCAGGAACTCAGTCAGGAGGTGACTGCGGTGGCTGGGTGTGGAGTGATAGGGGTTACATTGGGGGAAAAGCGAGGGAGCACAAAAGGAGAGAAGAAAGGTGCTGTGAGGAAAGAAGTCAATGCATCTAAACGACTCACTCCCTAGTGAACTGGGAAAACAGGAGCCAAAGCCAAAATCTAAGTATCAGGAGACAAGATGGGTAACATCAAGGTCAACTCACTTAACATCCTTCAAAGAAAAACCTAATGAAACATATTATTAGCCAGGATCTTTTTTTTCTTTTTCAAAATATATTCTATTGATTTTTTACAGAGAGGAAGGGAGAGGGATAGAGAGTTAGAAACATCGATGGGAGAGAAACATCGATCAGCTGCCTCTTGCACACCCCCCACTGGGGATGTGCCCGCAACCCAGGTACATGTCCTCGACGGGAATCGAACCCGGGACCCCCCAGTCCGCAGGCCGACGCTCTATCCACTGAGCCACACCGGCCAGGGCCATTAGCCAGGATCTTTACAAAGACAGAATCACAAGCACTGTCTGAAGTGGGACTTACTGATGCTGGGCAGTGAAGGGAACCAGAATATGTCACCCCAAAATATGTCTTTTTGACTGAAAAATTAGTTTGAGTTGAAGGCAATTAAGCAGCAGCAAACCTAGAAAAGGACCCCCCCCATTTCTGCCTGAGATTTTACTGAGATTAAACTGTTCCCAGCCCAGAGGGGGTCCAGAGCAAGCTGCAGGCAAACCATGAGTTCCCTCCGCACCCTGCCCCTCAGGCTGCCGCCTTCAGTCTAAAATGGCTTCCTTTGTCCTGTCATTTCTCTACAAATGTAATGCTCTTACTGAAGATGCTACAGAAACAGAAATTCTAAGAAACCACCTTGTGTTGCTTTTCTCCTGCATGATGAATGCTACATGCATTAATAAACTATTCTGCTCTTGTTCATCCGTCTTCTTGTTAAATAGTCCCGCTGAAACCCAAGGTGAGGAGAAGAAAAGTTCGGTGTAAAAGTTATGCAGCACCATAAATGTGGATACTCCCAATTCATAACTAAGATCTGTTTCATGTTTACTATGTAATGAACAATATGCAAAATGCTTTTCCATAATTTGATTTGATCTTAGCTCATCTTTAATGTAGGAACTACAGTTGGCCCCTTATTAGATAAAAGAAACTAAAGTTATAAACAAAACTTGCCCAAGGCCATTGAATGAGGCACTAAAATGTGGAGGCAGAATCTGGCCGTAGGACATAGAATTCAAGATCCCATCACGCGAGGTGAGCAGCCCAGAAAGCCCAACTGAATGCTCTCCTGCGATTGGTCTAGAAAGTGCCTGTCCCAGCCACAGCCCCTAAGCGTGGCTGTGCCTAGTGAACTTCAAAGGTGATGGGTAAAGACCACGTTAACTGTCTGAAGGGAGCGGCCAGCCCAGCGGGAGGAGCCGTACCGTACCGTCTCTCAGAGGGTCACTCTGCCGCGTCAGTGCGGAGGCGCTGTTAGCGCCGCCGGGAAAGAAGAGCAGATCGTCCAGGCCGTCACCGCAGTGCATCTGGTAGGGATCTGGAGGGAAAAGGGATCGAAAACTCAACCCCAGTGAACACCACTACAAAGACAGCACTCCTTACTACCCTACAGTGAGTGCTGATTGGTTATACGTGTGTTGTCAATAGTAAGTTCAATAAATTGAGGTAATGTCACTGTACATGTAAGAAATCAATAAATATTCACTAATTTGAAACCAGCTATGTGTCTCTTGTAAGTCCAAGAGCAAAAAAGCCCCATCTCAGTGGAGACAACGTGAGCTCTCAGCCAGGTCACTCGGCCCGGAGGCACTGAGGCTTCCACGTGGAGGCCTCCTGCAATCCGCTCCTCGCCGCTTCCCACTCAGATAGGCCTTCCGACTCCACAGATTACTTTGAATTTTATAAAGTGGGTGTGAGTCTTGGTTTTTCTCTTCTGTCAAACGAGTATAATATATATTTGGCAGAGTTAGGTAAGAAACACATATAATACACACACACACACACACACATATATACAGGCTGTAGCACTATGCCTGGGGCAAAATAGGCATCAACAAACGGTGCCATGAAATGGTGACTGATGGACGGAGACCTGACTTGGTGGTGAACACACAACAGTGTACAGCTGTGTGTGGACTGTGCACTTGAGGCCTGTATAATTTTGTTAACCAGACTCACCCCAATACATTCAATGAAAAGGAAAAAATTGTGCTATTATTATTGTAATACTTCCTTTTAGAAGAATTAAACTTCAATGAATATGAATTTCAGTTACTTTATTCAAAACAGGTTTTGCAGGGGAGAGAGCCAGAGGGCATGTGCCTACGACGGAGAGAGGCCCAGAGAGGAGGGTCACTTCCACCTCCAGGGCTTCAGCTACACTTCGCTTGTACTTCCCGAGCTGTATTTAGGCTAAATGTTTGATCCGAGTGGTGGCTGTGGCTTTCTCATGCTTATGTCTAGTTTGCATTCAGCAGTCACAGGCAAGCCTGCACTTACCAGTCTGGACAGGATTCACCACTTGCTCGGGTTCAAAGTAAAAGTTTGTGTTTTCTGGCCAGTTCTGGTTGTTCTGATACCCCTGGAAGGCCATTTTCTCTTCAAGAAATGCAGTTGGAGACCCTGCAAATAGAAACATGGAACAAAAGTTACAACGTACCAGTTTCCCCACTGGAGTTGAGTTTCTGTAGGAAACCTAGTACAATATAAAACAATCATACCTGCTAGTGCCTTTGACAAAAACTTTTTAGAAAGTGTATAAACCCTGGCTGGTGTGGCTCAGTAGGCAGAGCATCGGCCTGTGGACTGAAAGGTTCCAGGTTTGGTTCTGGTCAAGGGCAGACTCCTCCCTGGCCCAGGCCCTGGTCGGGGCTCATACAGGAGGCAACCAATCAATGTATTTCTCTCACGTCGATGTTTCTCTCTGTCTTTCCCTCTGTCTTCCACTATACACCAAACTTCTTGGAAAGTAATTTACACTTAGTATGAAAAGCATTAGGAGCCCCAAAAGAATGCACACAATAGCCTATCATTTCCAAAATAAACTTTGAAAGACTAGTGATGGTGCTTACAGATACATTTTTTCTGCTTATATTTCTTACCCTTTGGTAAACCCCACGATTGTCCATCTCCTCCCCCATCCTGGAGAAGGATGTTTAAGATGTGGACGGCACTGGCTACCCTCCACAGCAGGACCGCCGCCCAGCCCCAAGCAGCCCTCAGGCACAGCGCGGAGAACAGCCGCCTCCACCCACAGCGTCTCATGAGCATGTCTACAGAGGCTCACCCCGCATCTTCATTCACTGCTGCTGACCCAGATTCCCTCCTCAAAGCTCCCCAGCAAAAGCAGGCAAACTCCCTTGCAGGAGCAACAGCCTTTAGAATAAATGTGGGTGTCTTGTTTTGTTTTGTTTTGTTTTTATCATAACTGCAGTCTACTCAGAGAGTCTATTTCAGTAAAAGAGTGAAAAATTAAATTCAAAACAAAAAGCAATGTACATAGTGCAATGGAAACAAGTCTAGATACCTTGGTTCTCCTATAAAAGTAAAATGGGAAAACATAGGGGCTGGTTTCTATTTTTTTAAAATATATTTTTATTGATTTCAGAGAAGAAGGGGGGTTGGGAGGGAAAGGGGGAGAGAGAGAGAGAGAGAGAGAGAGAGAGAGAGAGAGAGAGAGAGAGAGAGAGAGAAACATCAATGATGAGAGAGAATCATTGATTGGTTGCCTCCTGCAAGTCCCACACTGGGGGACTGTGCCCGCAACCTGGGCATGTGCCCTGACCGGGAATTGAACCGTGACCTCCTGGTTCATAGGTCAACGTTCAACCACTGAGCAACGCTGGCTGGGCCCAATTTCTATTTTTGAGAAATTGGGGCATTTAACAGAAAAGGCAAGTGACTAAATATTAAAAGTACCAATTAAGTAGTAATAGCCTATATACTAAAAGGCTAATATGCAAATCAACTGAACAGCAGAATGACCGGTTGCTATGACACGCACTGACCACCAGGAGGCAGACACTCAACGCAGGAGCTGCCCCCTGGTGGTCAATGTGCTCCCACAGGGGGAGCGCTGCTCAGCCAGAAGCCGGGCTCATGGCTGGCGAGTGCAGCGGCAGTGGCGGGAGCCTCTCCTGCCTCCAGGGCAGTCAGACATCCCCTGAGGGCTCCTGGACTGTGAGAGGGTGCAGGCCGGGCTGAGGGACACCCCCCGAGTGCACAAATTTCGTGCACCAGGCCTCTAGTCTATACATAAAAGACAGACTAATTCTATCAGGTAAGATCCATCCAAGTGCAAATAAACCCATGGCTTTTAAATATAAGAGAAATACAAAAAAGTTTCAGATTCTACATTGCAACAATTGCAAAGACCCTTTTGTCAAGATCTGATATCAAATCAAAGACGAATATCCATTATCTGAAAAACACTATCAAAGGTTCCTCCTCTTAAGGGCATATAAATGTGAAGCGAAGTTTCTTCATATGCTTCAAACTCAAACAACATATTGTGACAGACTAAACACACAAAGCAGATGTTAAAGAGACGCAGAGAAATGGAAAACACACACCTTACTTCTAAACTCTTTTTTTTGTAACTATACCTATGAAAAATGTTAAAATTAAGTTTAGTATTATTTTAAAACTAGAGGCCCGGTGCACGAATTCGTACATGAGTGGGGTCCCTCGGCCTGGCCGGCGATCGGGGCCGTCTCGCCCAGTCCCGATCAGGTCGGCCAGCGGGGGGAGGGACCGCGGGAGGTTGGCCGGCTGCGGGAAGTTGGCTGTGAGAGCGCACTAACCACCCCCCTGGTGGTCAGTGCGCATCATAGCTACTGGCCAGTTGTCTGGTCATAACAGTCACTTAGGCTTTTATATATATAGATAATAGTTTAAAAGTCCCTCCATTTTAATATCTAGTTTGATAAATACTGATAGATATAACCCATAGAAACAAAAAAGCTCTTTGGGGTCCTTAATTTTATAAAGTTTTATTGCGGTACAATTGGCATACAATAAGCTGCACATATTTAAAGTGTACAATTTGATAAATTTCAACAAGTGTATGCCATCACCACAAAAAGAGAGTCAACATACTCATCATCCTCAACGGTTTTAAGCATGAAAACTGTCTTGGTACAAAAAGCTGGAGCACTGATGACTTCAGAGCATCTGCGGACATTCTCTCTGTGGAGAATGCCTATTCATCGGGAGAGTCAAGTAAAAGACAGCAAAGCAGAAAAAGAACATAGATTGGGACAGAGGACTCGGGTACTGAGTCCCAGCTCCTAGGCAAAACCTAAGTTAACTCATTTAATTCCTCTGCACTTCGATATTCTCATCTATATCCTGAAAGGACTGTCCTAGATTATGATTACAAAGATAAAACAAAACTGACCAGGGAAATAGTATGTGTACATCCCTACAAATGTTATAGAATGATAAAGCAATTGTGGCAAAATGTCATCAATTGGTAAATCTGAAAAAAAACATACAGAAGTTCTTTGTTTAAATCTATTCTTTCAACTTTTTTGTACACTTGAAATTATTTTGAAAATAAAAATTTAAGTGACAGAAGAAAGCTAACTCCTCAGATTTTCAGCCAACTCCACTTTTTACAATAAAATGTTCATATATAACCATATTAGGGTGTCTTTTTCCCTAAACAGGCAAAAACAGGCTACCAACCTTCCTGATTTGAAATCAATGGTATCTGACACCCCTAAAATGACGGGGAGACTTTTTTTTTAAGAGTGCCAAATTCTGCCCTAACCGATTTGGCTCAGTGGATAGAGCGTCGGCCTGCAGACTCAAGGGTCCCAGGTTCGATTCCAGTTAAGGGCATGTACCTTGGTTGTGGGCACATCCCCAGTGGGGATGTGCAGGAGGCAGCTGATTGATGTTTCTCTCTCATCGATGTTTCTAACTCTCTATCCCTCTCCCTTCCTCTCTGTGAAAAATCAATAAAATATATTTTTAAAAAAAGAGTGCCGAGTTCTAACAGTATCTGAAAACACTGGGCATTCACTGAAGGCCTCCAGCAGGACAGATGACGCTCTGGTTCACTGTCAGATGAACAGGCGCCTGCCTTGGGAACCCCCTACCAGACCGCAGCGTCCGTCAGAACCCTGCAGGCTGCGCCCCAGAGTGCGCACAGGCAGGTGGACCGCGAGGCCAGAATCCAGCCTGAGCTGGATTAGCTGTAACACTGTTTTCAGAGGTTCCTTCCGCCTTCCAGACACACGATTTACTATCACTGAATGCCGGTAATAAAAACACGTGTTTCTCCACAACCTCCTTTCTCGTTCTCCAAAGAGGGTT